TCCGCTCCCCTGCTCCTGCTGCTGTGGCTACGGCTCCTTCCCGCCTCCTCCTCCTCCTCCTCGCCTTCTCGGTTATCATCCCCCTTCTGCTTCTCCTCCTCTTCCTGCCGCTTTGGGCACGCTCGACCTCTTCCTGCTGCTCTTCCTCGGAGGAAGCGGAGGCATGCGAGGAAGCATGGAGGCGCGGGGAGGCGGTGCCGCACAGCGGATGCCCATGATACGAACCAGGCGGTGCACCAGGTGACGACATCTTTGCGGACGCTCACGGTGCCTCTGGTGAGGTGGTATCTCCATGGCGCCGCTCACGACGACTTGAAGGGCAAAGTAGCGCCCACCTTGGCGTAGAGCAGCGGCCATCTGCGCGACCCGTTGGCGCCGCTGCCCGCTGCTCCCCGCTTCTGGCCGCTGCCCGACCCCCCCCCTGCGCCTTCCTCCTTTTCCTCCGTGCCTGCTCTCCAGGGTCTACCCTTGGCAGCTTAGCCCAGACTTCGACTCTCTTGAAGCGCTCCAGTGGCTCACGCCCCAGCCGCGCGCGACCAGGAAGCGTATGTGTGTGCGCGTGTGCGTGTGCGTGTGCGTGTGCGTGTGCGCGTGTGTGTGTGTGTGTGTGTGTGGTTGTGTAGTTGTGTGGTTGTGTGGTTGTGTGGTTGTGCGGTTGTGTGTGTGTGTGTGTGTGTGTGTGGTGTGTGTAGTGTGTGTGTGTGTGTGTGTGTGGTGTGTGTGTGTGGTGTGTGTGTGGTCTGTGTGGTGTGTGTGTGTGGTGTGTGTGTGTGTGTGTGTGTGTGTGTGGTGTGTGTGTGTGTGTGTGGTGTGTGTGTGTGTGTGTGGTGTGCGTGCGTGCGTCCGTGCGTGCGTGCGTGCGGGCGTGCGTGCGTGCGTGTGTGTGTGTGTGTGCGTTTGCGTGTGCGTTGTGTGTCAGGTCACGCACGCACGTCTAGGCGCCAACACCTGGCCCCACCCTGGTTGATATGATCCCGCAGCCCTCGACTGGAAGGCCCACCATCGCCCCCCTGCCGACCTCGCACACTGGGCACGAGCAGGAACTTTGGCCTGGCGTGTCGCGCCGCCATTCCTGGCCCACCACGCTTCGGCGCGACGCGCCAACCACGTTCCGGTCCCCGAGTCATCGTCCCGAGCGTTTCCCGGCGTCCCGCTCCGCGGAGCGGAGCGACACGCTACCCGCATGCACGGCATTGGAGTTCTGCCCGGGCCGCCGCCGCGACACGCTGAGCAACAGTTCCCGACCGTACGACTTGCCCACCAGCGCAAGTGTCAATTCAACCACGTACGCCGCGCTGTACGCACTCAGGTCCTGTGCCAACGACGTGCCGACAGGGCAGACAAAGCCACCAACAAGGTCTTCAAGAGAGCGGCCTTTTGTGGCATTCCGCCACGGCCTGTTCCTCCACCACCACCAGCTCGACACAGGTGCCCGTATTGGCAAGAAGCGTGCACATGAGACGTCACAGGAAACAAGCAATTGCAACCGCACGCGGTAAGGCTCCACTGACAGCGACGGGCGTTAGCCCGCCCATCTGTCTACAGACTGGTCTCCACACCATGCCTTCAAAGCTTGATTTCTCTCACGCTCGTTTTTGGCCATCTGTCCTGTGGCCGACCTCAGTGCCTAGTATGGGATATGCATTACCGCCTTCAGCAGAGGCCAAGAGCATGCATTCGCCACTGACTGCACGGAATAAGTCCAACGATGGCATGCAAATCGCCGTTATGCCAACCACCCGACCTTCCTGGAACCAGGACCAGGAACCAGGACCAGTACCCGTCATGACCGCCGCCGAGGTTACGGGACATCCAGAAACCATCCGCTCCCAGCATGGCGCATACGACGAACAACCCCAGACGATGGATGCGCCACGATACCATTGCCGACGCGATCGGAGCACCGTCACCGCAAGCAGCGTATGGCCCGAACAATGCAATATGCGCCAGTTCAAGCAACACAAGTACCGCGACGCTGCTGCTGATCCTGTTCCTCGGCCTCTGCGGTCACTTACGCCCAGTGTCGTACACATGTTTTCCCGTGCGGGTCTCATTGGGCATATCCAGCATGGCATCTCAGGCGCAATCGCCAGACATAGCCACAGTGTACCGCTACACGCGCAACTCATAGCTCTTGGTTGCCAAGGCCGCAGCAACCGCGGACCCCCAGAGCACCCCATCCTTCGCGGCAAACGTCCGCAACGGGGCAATGGCGCACGGCTGCACATCCGACGCTTTCGGGCTGAGGGAGCGCGCCAAGCGGCACAGCGACACGCCAGTTCCATCGCTGCTTCTTCCATACCGCCCTGGACGTCGACATGGCTCACCCCTCCGAGTCAGACGCATTTGACTTCGCAGGACGTGCTATCAACCGCACCTTGCAGTCACTGGTTGCCGTACCTCCCGCATTCGTGTCGACCAATTGCCATTCATCTTCCACCCACCACTGTATCACCATTCGCGTTCGGCTCAACCACACTGGCCCATGTGCCGCTATGCCGCTTTCATGGTATTAAGCGCGACCTCCATCTTGGACGCCATCGGTGCATGCACAGAGCCCTGCTACATCGCGTCGTCCGCGATATTTCATCGCAATGCCAGCACGACAGCTTGCAGCGCGGGAAAGCGTACAGTAGGCATGTCGAACCAGCGCGTGGTTTGCAAGCAGGTGCGTTACGGAAGTTTGTAATCCACCAATGGCTTGTTGGGTCGAATGAGACCTTGGAGCACCGCAGGAAGCTCAAAGCTCGATGACAAACTCGTCCCAATTGCTCATGTCAAGACTCCTGACCGAGCTTGTCAACTGCACACATGCCAGCATACCGCCCCATATACAGAGACCGACATCAAAACGAGCACGTCACCGACATCACAGACTCATGGTTTCACCCCAACACTCTGTGATCCAGTATTGCTGCAGCAAGGCGACAGCTGGGGGTGCCAACAGCTTTGTGTCAGGTCGTCTGCCACCAGGAAGCTGGATACGGATGACGTGGCCAGCCTGTGCTGAAGCTGGATGCGCACGTGGACGCATGCCTTTCCAACGCTCGGCCCTCGAATAGCCAGGCATGTCCGCCCTCCGCATGTGTACCCAGCGCTTGGCCTCCAAATGTTTCTCGTATGAATCCAGCCCCGTGCGTTGCCAGCTTCGTGGTGTTTGTCCACTCCCTCATCGACGACCCTCCTGCCTGCTTTCTTTTCGTCCTACCGTTCTCTCGGCCTCTCGGCCTTCCGCCCTCACGGTTTGCAACCTTGCTGACTTGCCGCTCTCCCTCCATCTTGCCTCCTCCATTGTTATCGTCGTCGTCTTGGTCGTCGTCTTCTTCCTCGTCGTAGTCTTACTCCTTTTCCGGCTGCGCTGGAGGCGCATGGACATGCTGACCCGCCCTGGAACTACGACGCAGCCAGTTTGCCCAGATCCAAGAGTGGAGACGGTCGCGGTTGTCGCGTGTGCCCAGGCGCTGCTTAGCCAAGCCCCGGGGGGGTAGGGGGAGGTGGGTGCGGCGCAGGCCACCAGGAGGATTAAGATGTGCAGCAGCATGGCTTGTAGGAGGAATAGGGAGAGTCGGAGCAGGAGGAGGAGGAGGAGGAGGTTCGACGCCCATGTAGGGAAGAGACATGTGACAGAGGGATAGAGAGGGATAGAGAGAGAAGGAAGAGAGAAAGAGAGAGAGAGGGAGATAGAGAGAGTAGGACGAGGAGGAAGAGGAGGAGGAAGAGGACAGGAAGGATGAGGAGGAAGTCGAGAAGAAGAGGCGGAGGCGGAAGAGGAGAAGGATATTGAGGGAAGAGGAAGATTAGGTGTATGGGTAACGAACAGGAGTCAAGCAAGCCACCTCGAGCGTGTCAGTGGGCCCCGACCACTCCAACCCGTCCTCCCAAATTATAAGGATCAGTTCTGGCGCAACTGCATCATGGATTTCGTCTTTTCGCATGCGATGAGCGCCGCGCCCTGTGTCTGCCTGGCATTTTAGAACGTCGATGGTGAAACGTCCAGTCGGTGAGCGAACGCGGCGCGTCCAAGCGAGAGCGCCACTTTCAGAGGAAGTCTGCGCGGCGCTCAGGTTGGACCGATTTCGCCCGTTCGCGGGCGGCCGCGGTGCGAAATACCGAGCGAGCGAAAAGGGCGCGTCGCGCCCGATGGGGAGCAACTTTTCACAAAACGAATATGCGCTGTGCTTTTGGCGACAACAGTATTTCGCATTTTCGCGCGCAAAGTGAGCCGCGCCACATGTCCGTCGCTCGTGTTGCATCAGCACGCTGCGCGACGCGTCCCCATCCTGCCACGCGATTTGCACCGTCGACGGCAAAACGTCCAGCGCGCGATGCGCGACGCGTCCCATTCCTGCCACGCGGCTTGCGTCGTCGACGGCAAAACGTCCAGGGCGCGAGCGCGACTCGTCCCCAATCCTCCCGCACGTTTTTGCGTATTCGACGACATGAGCAGCCTAGCGCGATGCGCAACGTGTCCCGATCCTGCCACGCGTTTTGCGCCGTCGACGACAAAAAGTGCAGCGCGCGTTGCGCGCTGCGTCCCAATCCTGCCACGCGTTTTGCGTCGCCGACGGCAGAAGGTCCAGCGCGAGGTGCGCGACGCGTTCTGATCCTGCCACGCGTTTTGTGCATTCCTGGAAAGCTCCTTGTGAGAGCTACAAGGGGTGTTAGGAAGAAGCCGGCAGGCAGGGCTTCGCCAGCTTCCTCTCCACGGCTTCTGGGCATGCATCTCCGCAGCGGCTCCTGTGAAGTCGCAGCGTGCCCAGGGAGCGCTTTCCTACTCGTTCACAATACGCCTGCTGAAAGCCTTTCCGCAGCTCCTGCGAAGCTCTTTGGGTGCTCCTGGAAAGCTCCCTTCCCAAAGCTCGCAAGCTCTCCAGGCATCCGTTCAAGGGTCGCTGCATGTGTTTCCCGGATCTAGCATTCCCAGATAGCTCTCTGAGAGACAAGAGGGTTTCAGATTAGAAGCTGGCGGCGCAGGGTCGCCCAGCAGCTCTTTCCGGCGCCAGCCAAGCAGCGTTGCAACGGGCTGCTTGTTCTGGCAGCTTGTCCCAAAGGTGGTTTCCTACTCATTCCCAATACGTGTCCTGGAAGCCTTTCCGCAGCTCCTTCGAAGCTCTTTGGGAGCAACTGCGGCGGCGGTGGCGTCGGCGATGACGACCGACGGACGTGGTCTTCCGCCTCTGCAATTCTCCAGAGGCCCCTGGAGGTCCCTGGAGGTCCCCGAGGCCTCAGGTGGCCTGAGCTCAAAGAAGGGTATGACCAACGAGGGTGACGACCTCGACGCCGCCAGCGAGGGCGGCGACGACGGACGACCGACGACGACGACGACACTCGACAGACGACGATGCCGGCCTCGGCGACAACGGCGACGATGACGACGACGACGTGGACGACAGACAGACAGACAGACAGATAGACAGAACAGACAGACAGACAGACGACGACGACAACGACGGACTACCTATGGACGACCGTCGACGACGACCGACGACGACGACTACGACAGACGACGACGACGACGACGACGACTGACAGCCAACGACCGACGACGACGACGACGACGACGACGGACGACGACGACGGACGACCAACGACCGACGACGACGACGACGATGACGACGACGGCGGCGGCGACGCCGGCGGCGGCGGCGACGGCGACGGCGGCGGCGATGGCGACGGCGACGACGGACGATCGAGGGCGACGGCGACGACGGCGACGACGGCGGCGGCGACGCCGGATAACTGACGGTGACGGACGACGAAGATGATGATGATGATGATGATGATGATGATGATGATGATGATGATGATGATGATGATGATGATTATGATGATGATGATGTTGATGATGATGATGATGAAGAAGATGATGATGAAGATGATGAAGATGATGAGGATGATGAGGATGATGATGATGATGGTGATGATGGTGGTGGTGGTGGTGATGATGATGATGATGATGATGATGATGATGATGATGATGATGATGATGATGATGATGGTGACGACGACGACGACGACGACGACGACGACGACGGCGGCGGCGGCGGCGACGACGACGACGACGACGACCGTCGACGACGGACGACCGATGGACGGCCGTCGACGACAACCGACGACGACGACGACGACGACGACAGACGACGACGACGACGGCGACGACGGCGACGTTGACGACGACGAGCCGACAGACGACGACGGCGGCGGCGGCGGCGGCGATGACGACCGACGGACGTCGTCCTCCGCCTCTGCAATTCTCCAGAGGCTCCTGGAGGTCCCTGGAGGTCCCTGGAGGTCCCTGGAGGTCCCTGGAGGTCCCCGAGGCTTCAGGTGGCCTGAGCAAATATGGGTATGACCAACGAGGGTGACGACCTCGACGCCGCCAGCGGCGGCGGCGACGACGGACGGCCTGGCATCGCTCGGACGTGTGCATTTTTCCCTCGGCGAGGACCATCGAGGACCATCCTGGACCATCGAGCAAAGCGATGGCGAGGGGTCGCCAGCCAGCTGGGGCTGCGGGGAGGCGCTCGGCGACGCTGCTGCGCTCAGGACGCCTGGCCTGCGGCAGGCGCCGCGTCCCCCTCTGCCGCTGCTGCCGCTGCCGCCGCTGCCGCCGCTGCTGCCGCTGCCGCCGCTGCCGCCGATCCTCGAGCGAGGGGCAGCTGTTTTTGGTTGGCTTCTGGGGGTCTCTGTTTGGGCCTCCAGCGGCCCGTCTGCGGAGGCCGGAGCTGCCCCCGCTTCTCCTCGATCCTCAACGGCAGGCCAGCATTTGGCAGATCTCTTCTATCAATCCTGGCCTGCTTCTCCTCGGTTTTCAGCTTCTGGGAGCAGAGTCCGGACCCCGGGTCGTCACAACGGATCCAGGAGGAAGCACTCGTCCCCCGAGAAGGGCGGACTGAACAGGACATCGCACATTCGGTCCTCCAGCGAGGATGCAGATTGATGTCGATCCTCCAGCGAGGATGCAGACTGTTGTTTGGCTTCGTGAGGCTTTCGGGGGAAAGCCTCTGGGGGCCCCGCTGTGCCTCCATTCTCGCCGCCTGGAGGCTTCCCCCAGGGCCGTCACAGCCGAAGAGCCGGGTCCGGCAGGGGGTCGGAAGCTCCATAAGGGCAGGGGCCACGCCATGAAGAGAAGGGGGCATCGGAGATCTCGGTGTGGCGGCACGCCAGAGGTGGCAGGGCCAGGGTGACAAGCTGGCAGGGCAGGGCGAGGTCTGGGCAGGTCACGGCAGGGTGACAGTTTGGCAAGGCAGGGCAGGGCAGGGCCAGGGGTGGCAGGGCAGGGCGAGGTCTGGGTTTGGCGGCCAGGGGGCTTTGGGAAGGGGTTGGCCCTTGAAACTACTGCGGTGCGCCGTGGACCTCACGGCAGGGCGGACCAGCAGACTACCCCCTGATTTCTGCCTCGCCTTTGCTCGCCGCATGTCCTTCCCACCCTTGACCATCTTAGCGCAAGCCCGCATCCGCTCTCGTTCGAGCCTCCTGGGATCACATGTGTTCGAGGTGCCTCAGATGCCGGCTGCGGACATTGGTCGGCGGCGATCCCGGGGGGAGGTGAGAAGGAGTGGGCCTTGTCAGATGGCTCGGAAGTTTTCTAAGCCCCCCCCCGAAGACGCAGAAAGCCTCTAAGTGGGCGCGATGGCTTCTGGGAAGCCCCGCCGCCCTCTGAGAAGGCCTTCTCCTTCTCACCTCCCCCCCCCCGTCGCTCGCCGCCGAAGTGGTCGACCCTGCAGCACGGCGGTCCAGAGAGGGCCTCGCATGCGGTGCTGCATCCTCGCCCGCGGCGGAGGCGGGCGGCCGCAGCACGGCGGCGGGCTCCCGCCGGAGGACGCCTGGCGCGGGGGGGCGGACGTGAAGGTCATGCGCCAGCACGTTTTCAGGAGGGGAAAAAACACACAGACACAATTAATCGTCGATCCCCGAGAAAATATTGGAAAATGTGGGAATTGGGCGGGAAGACAAAAACCCAGAAAATATGGGAAACTATGGGGAATCATTTTATTTGTGTGTATTTATTTGTATGTCCTGGGGCCCCTTCACGTTTGGACCCACGGTCTCTGATCTCGTCTCTGCCAGCTGGCACCCGCGGACGCTGCTGACCCGAGCGGGCCACCTGCCCTCCAGCCTGCGCGGGACCGTGGGCAAGAAGAGTCCGATGGCCGGCTCGAGTGTGACAGGCGTGTGAGGATCGGCTCGGCCGCGATGATCGGCTCGAGCGCGATATCGCACTGTAGTTTTATCGAACCTGCACCTGATGCCTTGCCGAAGGTGTGGGCTGCATGGGGGGCCTGTGTTCTTTTGTGCCGATGGTCCGTCTAGGCGCCAGGCTTGCCTGCTGGCTTGCGCCCATTCTGTTGGGTTCGCCGTCGCCGTCCACTGCTTCGCCGGCCGCGGCACGCAGTCATAGGGGCGCCTCGCAGCGTGCGCGGCTCGGCGCTCGGCCCGACCCCCTTGCTGGACGCTGGCTCCCCTCCTCTTCCTCCTCCTCCTCCTGCTGCTCCTTCCCCTCCTCCTTGCTGACCTTCTCTGACCTTCTCTGACCTTTCCTGTGGCGGTGTTCCTGCTCCTCCTCCTCCTCCTTCTCCTCCTCCTCCTACTCCCCTTCTTCTCGTCCTCCCCCCCTCCGATCCCTCGCTCCCTCGCTCCTTCCCTCTCCTCCCTCGCCCCTTCACCCTCCCCCCTCTCCCCTTCCCCCTTCCCGCCTCCCGCTCCCCTTGACAATTACTCAATATGAATACTACTCTCCCTCTCCCCCGGATGACGGTTTTAAAGTACTCGACCCCCCCCGCGCACCTTTTTTTACACACAGGTTTCCCCGGAGTTGGGTTTTCGCTGGCATTTTTTTCAAAATGCTGCTGTCGCTGAGGCGCCGGCCTCATTTTCGGGCCCCGCTCGTTCCGAATCGTGCTCCCGCTGCAGCGCTGGCCTCATTTCCGTGCTTCCGCTCGTTCCGAATCGTGCTCCCGCTGCAGCGCTGGCCTCATTTCCGCGCTTCCGCTCGTTTCGACTCGTGCTCCCGCTGCAGCGCTGGCGTCATTTCCCGTGCCATGCCACGGCATGCAATGCAATGCTAGGTTGATGCTACGCTTTGCGGTGCTCTTCTACGCCATGCCATGCCGTGCTCTACAATGCATCGCGTACCCTTTCGGGATCATTGCCCTGCTCGACATCCGACTGTGCGAGTAGAGAGGGGATCTACGCCATGGTAAGGGATGGGAGGGAGGGGTAGGATGTCAGATATGACGCGAGCGCACCTAGCTTGCCCCTCCCCCCTCCCCCCCTTGCCCCCTGCCCCTTGCCCCTCCGCCCCCTCCCCCCCCCGTGCCCGCCCTCCCACATCCCCCCACCACCTCCCGCCCGCCTCCCCCCCTCGCGCCCTCGAGGCCCCCCTGGGCTCGTGCCCGCCCCCCCCCCCCCCCCCCCCCCGGCCCGCAGAGGCGCTCCTGCCTGCCGCGCTCCCGGCGGCGGTGGCGGCCCGCGTGCTGCCGCACGCGCTGCCGCTGGAAGGCGCCGCGGCGCGACGCCGCCCTCGCCTCGTGGAGGGGGGGGGGACGGCCTCCTCGTCGAGGCTCCTCTCTCTCCTCGCTCTCTCTCCTCCTCCTCCCCTCTCCTCCTCTCCTCCTCTCTCCTCCTCTCCCCTCCTCTCTCCTCCCCTCCCCCGCCTCGATCGCCATGCCCTGCCGCCTCCCTACCTCCTGCCGGACTCCTCCTCCCTGTACCCTTCCCCAGCTCCTCCTGCCCTGCCTGCCTCTCTCTACTTCCCCCGTCTCCGCAACCCCTTCTCCCCATCCCTCCACCTCACTTCCACCGCTTCCGCAACGCCTTCCCTCCTTCTCCTACACTGTTGTCGAGCGTGGCCCATGTTGGCTTACAGGGAACAGTGGTTGTGAAGCGCCCGATCCTGACACATGCGCCGTCCGTGCTGGTTTCTCAACTCACCGTGCCGTGCGAGTTCCATCGAGGGAGGTGGCACGTACTCCAGAAGTCCATTGGCACTGTGGGTTGGGCGTCCATAGGTACTCCTCAGGCTATATTCTAGATGTGGACATCCACGAACCCCCGAACACCTCAGAAACAAACCGCGCCATGCAGCTCATGACCCCTTCCCTGGGACGGGCTCATTCATTCCCGAGTCATGTGTCAGCGGCCCCCGAGGGCCCACAGACGATGTAAATTGCGCAACATGTCAGGCGTGATTTCTCGAGTCGGCGGGGGTGTTGATTGTTTTTTCTTCTTCTCCTCGTCGTCCTCCTCCTCCTTCTCCTACCTTGTGAGGCACCCGCCCGAGGTTGCGCCCACAGGTCGGCAGAGCTATTTTGCTCAGCAGGCGGGGGGTGTCGCTGATTTTGTTCTGGTCTGGGCCAACTTTAAGGTATCCACATCAGGGAAAGGCTGACACGTCCCTGTCGAGGAGGGGGTGGAGGAAGAGGGAGAAGGCGGAGGGATGAAGGAGGAGGAGGAGGAGAAGGAGGAGGAGGAGGAGGAGGAGGAGGAGGAAAAGGAGGACCAGTGCGAACCCAAAAAGTATCAGCGAAGTTGCAATGAAGCCTCCCTCCAAGTTCCTTCTTCATGTGTGCTAGCAATAATTTATTTTCATTGCGGGAAGCGCCCCATTGAACGGTAACCGTCTGATAATCCCGAATCAACGTGGCTGTTGCGTCCTGAATCCAGACCCGTGCCAGAACACAATTCTTGAGACTTCAACAATGCGAGTCAACGTGACAGTTGCGCCCTGACAGTCCTAAATCGTGCCAGAACACGATCCCTGGGACCGCAGACGAATGTGCGCGGCGCTGAGGCGGGAGCCCCATTTTGGAAAGCAGCCGCCCATCCTTGAATCGGTTGTAAGCTTTAGGATTCGTGTGCGCGGTGCTAGAGCGAGAGCCACAATTTGGAAACCACCCACACTTCATTCTCAAAGCTGCTGCAACCCATTAAAACGAACGTGCTCGGCGCTAAGAGGAGAGTCACATTTTGAAAACCACCCGCCCTCCACCCCTGAAGCTGAGGCAAACTTTTCAGACGAATGTGCGCGGCGCGAAGGCGAGAGCCACACTCGGATAGCGACTCGCCCTCCATCCTTGAAGCGGTTGCAGATCGGAAGCTCCAGGACCAGAAGTGGTGAGGAAACCTCGTAGGGAACGCCCGGCCCGCCCTACAGGCACGCCCGGGGGTGCGACAGGGAGGAGTTGCTCACAGGGGAAGTGGATGGAGGAGGAGGAGGAGGAGGAGGAGGAGGAGGAGGAGGAGGAGAGGAAGGAGGAGGAGGAGGAGGAGGGGCATGTGGAGAAGGAGGAGGAGGAGGAGGAGGAGGAGGAGGAGGAGGAGGAGGAGGAGGAGGAGGAGGAGAAGGAGGAGGCCGACGGCGATGAACAGCAGGAAGAGAAGGGGGTACAGGAGGAGGGGGGAAGGACGCGGAGGAGCAGGAGGAACAGGTCTTCACCCCTCTCCGCATCGCTCGCTGCTGCGAAGGCGCGTGCCGCCCGGCGCACGAGTTCGTGGTCGCCATGGCCGCCCGCCAGATCGTTTCTGGCGCACGGAGCCCTCTTGCGCCAAGGGGTGGCGGGACGAGGAGAGAGGATGGAAGGAGGAGGGAGGGGGAGGAGGAGGTAGGTCGAGGAGTCTTCAGGACTACAGGCCCAACCTCCAGAGATTCCAAACTCGAATAACGGCGGCGCTGCGGCGCTGAAACCTTCTACTGCCCCAGGCGGTCCCTTGGCGATGAAATTCGGCTTTGCTCAAAAAGGCTTTCCGGTGGTGGGGTGCTACCTCCCCACAGACGGCCCAAACGCCCAGCCTTCACCCGAGGGTTTCCCCCAGGACAGCTGGTCAGCAAGCCTAACCACCTGTCGTGAGCGCACCTGGCGCATCGAGAGCAGAAGATCACTCTGGGGATGCGTACTGGTCAAAGCCTCCTGGCGCGGGCTCGTTCGATCCTACCCCCGTCTCCCACCAACCCATCCCTCGGGGGCGGGGTGCCAGGAGGCGCAGAGTGGGGGGGCTCCTCGGCACCCTCGTCACCGACACCAGGCAGGGGTTTGGGGGTGTCGGGGGTGGTGGGTTCAAGTCCCGCTCGGGTGGACTCGATCCCTCGGTGGTGTCAACGAACCCTCTTGCTAACACGTTCATGCAGGATGTGAGTTCTAGCGCGTCCGAGGCGAGCTTGAAATTCTGTATACAGGCTGCCCGGTTCCACTCAGGATGCTGATGCTGGTTCGCCCCTGGCTTCGCATACTGGTCGGCCAATTGACTACCCTTCCACCGCTCGAGGCCCGTGTCGTTTGGCTGGGCCCTCGTCGCTTGGCCTTGCACTTCCTCGAGGCTCACCCCGCGCGGCCCCAGACCACTGTTTCTGGTGATCGAGGCCCAGCAGCGCGCCCACACGTCTCTGTGCCGTGCGGCCGGGCTCGCCGCCCACGCGGGCCCTCTCGGGAACCCGTCGACGACCGACCGGCAGTCCGAGAAGGCGACGATCGGCGGGCAGGCCACCTCTGGCACGCGGAGCGCTGCCACCAGCTCGCTCTTGGACATCGGCTGCTGCCCCTGCGGCCCCAGGAGCGGCCCGTGGCAGGCGACCTGCTGGGTCATGTTGGCGGCGAGCTGGTTCTTGCGGGTGTTCCGCACCCAGCTTTGGTGCACAGGTGAGTGCCGTTCGCGCCGTCGGGTCGGGTCTGCCAGGCGCGGTCTTGTATCGTAGCTTCACTCTGTACTCCTTGTGGCGTGTTATTCGGTGCCTTGGCCATCTGGGCCTCCAGAGTTTTGACCCTCCGCTCTCATATGCCGCGTGGCCAGCCTGAGGCTCGCGCCTGTTACGGGTAGGCCGGTGCGCCGCTCGCGGTGCTTGTCTCTAGGGGCCCGCTTCTCCGCTTGGCGGTCGGTCCCTGCTCAGCCTTCCTCCCTTCTCCACTTGCTTTGATCTGTTTTTGGGTTGACCCGTAACTCGGAGGGCACCAACTATGCACCAACAACGATCCTGGACCGATCCTGGGCTCAGGGTGATCCTGGCCAGGATCGGTGTTGGTGTATAGTCGGTGTTGGTGTATAGTCGGTGTTGGTGTATAGTTGGTGCTCAACCTTCCTCCCTTCTCCACTTGCTTCCCCCTCCCCCTCCCCCTCCCCCTCCTCCTCCTCCTCCTCCTCCTCCTCCTCCTCCTGTTTTTGGGTTGACCCGTAACGCCGTGCTCCGGGCCTCCGCGTGCAGTTCTCTGGTTTTTGTGGGGCGGAGCAGTAGGTTCGCAAAGCTGCGTTGCCGCCGTCGGCACGACGTCATCATCGGAACAAAGGAGGAGGAAGAAGGATGAGGAGCAGGAGGAGGAGGAGGAGGAGGAGGAGGAGGAGGAGGAGGAGGAAGGGAGGAGGAGGAGGAGGAGGAGAGAGGAGAGGGGGGGAGGAGGAGGAGGAGTAGCAGGAGCAGGAGGAGGAGGAGGAGAGGAGGGGAGGCGGAGGAGGAGGAGGAGGAGGAGGAGGAGGAGGAGGAGAGGAGGAGGAGGAGAAGGGGGCGGGGGGGGAGGAGGAGGAGGAGGAGGAGGAGGAGGAGGGGGAGGAGGAGGAGGAGGAGGAGAGGAGGAGGAGGAGGAGGAGGAGGAGGAGGAGGAGGATGAGAAGGAGGAGGAGGAGGAGGAGGAGGGGAGGAGGAGAGGAGGAGGAGGAGGAGGAGGAGGAGGAGGAGGAGGAGGAGGAGGAGGAGGAGAGGGGGGAGGAGGAGGAGGAGGAGGAGGAGGAGGGGAGGAGGAGGAGGAGGAGGAGAGAGGAAGGGAGGAGGGAGGAGCAGGAGGAGAGGGAGGAGGAGGAGGAGGAGCAGGAGAGGGGAGGAGGAGGAAGGAGGAGGAGGAGGAGGAGGAGAGGAGCGGGGGCGGGGGGAGGAGGAGGAGGAGGAGGAGGAGGAGGAGGAGGAGGAGGGAGGAGAGGAGGAGGAGGAGGAGGAGGAGGAGGAGGAGGAGGAGGAGGAGTAGAAGGAGGAGGAGGAGGAGGAGGAGGAGGAGTAGAAGGAGGAGGAAAAAGAAGAAACAGAAGTCGAGGACGATGAGGTGGAGGGATGAGGGAGGAGGAGGAGGAGGAGAAGGAGGAGGAAACATAGTTATAAGGACAGTGAAAGCGAATCAGAGACGTTTCGGAACATATACATGGTACTATTAAGATAAGCCAGCACGAACCATACTCATCTTCGTACTAGTATCCGAATAATGAGAATGAGAGCAGTACATAGCAAAACTAATACCCCTAGTTGTAATCCGAACACTACTTTGAAGACGACTACTATTACGAAAAAGAATAGCAATGAAACTCATCATAGTAACCCTAAATTGCACGCGTGAGAGCACTAAGGATCAAACTATCGGAAGAGTGAGGATACTTGTATTAAGAAAACTACGCAGAACGAAGAGGAGGAGGAGGAGGAGCGAACATCCCATAGGGCACTTCCCTGGTGTCCCCTTCGAGCGTTGGCGTTACTGTCTGTCGTGCGACTCTCAGCCTTCATGCCTACCCCGCTACAAACCCAAAGCGACACGTATACAGGGTACAGCTGCAGAAGGCAAGTGTTTTGCAAGTTGGAGCTACTTGGAGACCAAGATAAAAGCACCTCAAGTCAATGCCTGCAGACCTGAATCGTTTGATCCCCGTGCAGTGTCCAGAGCCAACCGGCGTGTGGTAGTTTGTAACTTCTGTTTCTTGTAGCAGTGAGAGTCAAGGACCGTTCAGACTGCCAACGTGCTCTCTATGCCCTTATTCGTGATTGGGCCTGGCATTGCGTATACCTCATATGTCCGGCAGTTTCTTCCTGCCTTCCTGGCTGAGCGATTGGTGCCTCGGAGGAGATTGCTTCACCCATTCCTCCTGCCCCATGTCCTCTCCCTCATCTTCTTCTCGCTGGCGTTGTCCTCCATGTCGCAGCCGCCGGCGTCATCGTTCTCCCTCTCGTCCTTCGGGTTCTTCCCCGGCCGCGGTCTGAGGACGCTCGAGGTTCCGGAGATCGCGAGCGCGCTTCGGGGCGTGTTGGCTATGCAGGCGCGCTGTCATCCGAAGGTCTGCTGCTGCAGGTATGGGCGGTATAAATATGTGTTTACCAGCCTCCAACTCATCCCTATCCCTAAGATTGACACGCCAAAAGGCGATGACAATCTTAGGGATGCGCCCTCAAAACATAAGGGAATCCCTGAGATTGGCATCGTGATGAGGAGGTGCCCCGCATAGGGATAGGGATATGCTCCAGGCTGGTAAATGTGTGCATGCGTCCTTGGCTGCCTCGCCGTGGGGCGCGCGTTGGGCGGGGTCGCGTGGGGGAGCGTTGTGTCGCTCTCGGCGTGCCGATCCTCGCCGCTTTCAGAAGTCCCACCCTGACCACCCCTCTTCTTCTTCCTGCTCCCCACCCTCCCTAGAGGACGAGGAGGATGAGGAGGAGCATGAGAAGGGCGATGGAAGGTGATTATTCTATGGGTGATGGTGGTGCTGACGATGGTGCTGCTGATGATGATTCTGATGATGGCGACGATGAGGAGAAGGAGGCAGGGTGAAGAGAAACACATTGAGGAACATAATGATGAGGAATGGGACAGACAAGCGTAAAGCCGAGCAGGGATGCGTGCAGTTCACTCTCCCGTCCCGTGTCCCACCCAGTTCGGCACCCTTCTCACACGTTTCGTGGCCCTACAGGGAGCGCCATTGAAGGCCGCCGTGGCAGGGTTCACATGCGTTCGCGCCACCCATTTCGGCACACCCGAATGGCCCCATAAGGAGCTCCACCGAAGGCCCGAGTGGCAGGAGTCGCATGCGTCTGCGCCACTCATTTCGGCACACCCCTCACACGTTTCGTGGCCCCCCTAGGGAGCCCCACCGAAGGCCCCAGTGGCAGGGTTCGCATGCGTCCGTGCCCCCATTTCAGCACACCTCTCGCACGTCTCGTGGTCCCATGGGGAGCTCGACCGAAGGCCCTGTGTGGCAGGGGTCGCATGCGCCTGCGCTATTCATTTTCGGCACGCTCCTCACATTCTTCGTGTCCACATAGGGAGCTCTACCGAAGGCCCTCTGTGGCAGGGGTCGCATGCGCCCGCGCCGCCAACTTCGCCACACCTCTCACACGTTTCGTGGCCCCATGGGGAGCTCCGCCGAAGGCCCCGGTGGCAAGGTCTCCATGCGTCTGCGCCGCTCATTTCGGAACATCCCTTACACACGTTTCGCGGCCCCATGGGGAGCTCCACCAGAGGCCTCAGTGGCTGGGTTTGCATGCGTCCGCGCTACCATTTCGGTACACCCTTCACACGTTCCGTGGCCTCATGGGGAGCTCCGCCGCAGGCCCCAGTGGCAGGGTCTCCATGCGTCTGCGCCGCTCATTTCGGCACACTCCTCCCACGTTTCGTGGCCCCATGGGGAGCTCAACCGGAGGCCTCAGTGGCTGGGTTTGCATGCGTCCGCGCCACCATTTCGGTACACCCCTCACACGTTCCGTGGCCCCATGGGGAGCTCCACCGAAGACGATAGTAACAACTGCGGTACTCCAGTCCAGTCCAGTCCAGAAGCCTTGCGCCAGCCACAGCGCGTAAGCAATGCGTGAAAATGTTCACGGGAGCGGGCGCCGTCAGCACGCCGCACATGCCTTGATTGCTTGCTCCCGCCTGCGAGCTGCACCGCCCTCTCGGCGGAAGTAGTCAGCAAGCCGCTCATGGGAGCCGGCAACATTGTCCAATCAGTGCTTGCATGGAAGGGGTCCTAGCCGAAATTGAATGCTTTGGCGAAAGTTTCCCGCCGATTTTGGTAGCCGGTTGGGTTCCCGGGTCCCCGGTTCCGGGTTCCCGGGTTCCTGGTCATTGGTTCCGGGCCGATTTCGGTGGGTTCTGGGTTCCCGGGTTCCTGAGTTCCCGGTCGATCTCCTCATCGATCTTTTCATCGATCCCATTTCAAGCCATCCACTGATTGGGTTTTTTTCTCTGGTGTAGTTCTCGCAATGCTTTAGCACCATTGGCCCCCAAGACTGTCTCGGGTGGCCTCTTCTCCTTTGTCCCCAGGAGGCTCTTGAGAGCCAGGCCGCCCAGCTCGAATACCGAGCTTCTGACCGGATCCTCGTCTGGGCTTCTGGCCACATGGCCCACGTACAACTTCTGTCTACGCGCGAGACGATCGCTCAAAGGCATCTGCTGGCAAGTCTGCAGAACTGCACGATTCGACACCCGACTGATATACGACGCGAGAACTCTGCAAATTCGTCTGAGGCAATTTTTCTGGAATCCGTCGAGCTGTCGGCGGTACTCACAACTGCATATGGTTCGGCCCTTCGTCGGGCTGACTTTAGGCATACGGAATGCCGAGTGGCGCGACCATAGAACCGTTTTTGAATGAAATGGCCTCCGTGCGTGATGCTGTTGCGCGGGGTTAGTTTTCTTGTCTCGGATGGGGCGGCGTCTCGAGCGGGAGTCCCGTATTGGGATCGGGCCGGCCTCCATCCGTGTAATTAGCGGCTGCGCAAGTTTGCACACGCCTGTAGTCATATGTTCTCCTGTCCTCTTGTGTGTGTCTGGGTGTGTGCGTGTGTGTGTGTGTGTGTGTGTGTGTGTGTGTGTGTGTGTGTGTGGAGGGGGTATCTTTCAGTTCCCCCCTGGAGGGTTTTGAGGGGGCACCCGAACTACGCACACCGTCACGTGGCGGACTCGGCGGAAGTCGTGCCACAGGATCAGGGGGGCTTACTTGGCCGTCCATGGTGCCTCCAGGATCAACGCGAGGTCTCCAAGAGGGCCTTAAAACGCGCCGAGAGGCTTCCTGGAGAGCCCCAGGGGCCAAAGACGACCCCACGACGGCGTCAAGATGGCCCAAGATGGCGCAATCAAGCCTCCAATGTAGTTCCGAACTGGACCTCGAAGGCAAGCACATACGATGTCTTACATGTATTTCGACATCGGACGTGTTTCTGGCCGTCACGCCGTCAGTGAACCAGCGGAGGACCTGCAAAGCTTTCAGAAGGTCGACACAAGGACCCAATATGCTTGCCTGGAGAACGCAACAGCCCATCAAGGCAACCCCAAGATGGTTCCAGGAGGCCCCAAGAGCGCCCCAGGAGAGCCCCGAGAAGCCATGCGATGCCTTCGGGAAGGGCCCCAAAGACCCTCGAAGAGATTCCGAAGAAACCTTCAAGAGGCCCTTAATAGGGCCTGCATCCTACGACGGCCCAATAGGCTTTCAAATGCCGCCAGGGAGCCCGAAGAACCCTGCAATGTGGCACTCAACGGGCTACCAGGGAGGGCTCCAAGACGCCCAAGGCCCTTCAAGAGGCCTTCCTTTGCTTGTATGGTATCCTCTCCCTTCGTCTCACTCATACCTCCTCATTCCTCCTGGCTTCCTATATTATCCTTGTCGCACTCCGTCGTCGTTGTGGAGTCGGACACCGCCTACATCAACATGCTGTTTCCCTCCTCTCCATTCCTCTGTTCCTATGGTCGTATTTCCTCTGCCCCCCTGTTTCATGTTACCTACCCTCCTTCTCTGTTCCAGCTCCTCTTGCATTGCTCTCCCTCGTCCCTCTTCCCTTTCTTCTCTTCTCCGATGTGCCTCCATGTCTCCTCCTTTCTCCCCTCCAGGTTTCCGTTCGCCCTCCTTCTCCGTTTTGCTCACGCTCCTGCTCCTCCTCTCCTGCATCCTCTCGTTTCGCGGTCCTCATGCTGGTCCTCATCATAATCTCTCGCCTGTCTGAGTCTCTTACAAGTGCCCCGGCAAGGCCCGAGGAGGGAAACAAATAACGCTGGAACCGACATGGGGCGCCTTGCTCGCATCCCCCTGTCTTACGGTGTCCTTTCTCCAGAGGTATGCCCGTCTGTTTGCTCCAAGTTCGGGCCTCGTGGCTCCACCAGATGTGTAAGATAACGTCGAGAGCCCACTGTTGAAGAGAATCCTCTCGCCATCCGTGCAAGCGCTGAAAACTTTAGGACGACCGTGCCCAAGCGAGTTCGAGACCCACATCTTGAAAGCCCTTCGTGTTGAATTTGTGTACCAGTTGAACATTTTTCATGACGAGCGCCCGCGGCGCCCAGGCGAGAGCCATGTATTTTGTGAGCGTGTAGCGCCCAGCCCTGCCCTGCCGACTCGCCTGGCGGTGCGACGAGGAAGAGTTCCTGATGGGATCGAGCGAAGTAGGAGGAGTAGGGAGAGGAGGAGGATGAGGAGGAGGACGAGGAGGAGGATGAGGAGGAGGAGGAGGAGGAGGAGGAGGGAGGAGGAGGAGGAGAAGGAGGAGGAGAAAAACGATGATGATGATGATGCTGATGATGATGATGATGATGGTGATGATGATGATGATGATGATGATGCTGATGATGCTGATGATGATGAGGAGGAGGAGGAGGATCAGTGTAAGCCCAAGAGTCATCAACGATGTTGGAATTAAGCCTCCCTCCAAGCGCCCTCTTCACAGGCCCCTACAACGGTTCATTTCCATTGAGGAAACTGCCTCGCTGGAAGACAGCCGTTTGAAGATCCTGAAGCATGCCAAAACATTTTTGTCTGGATTTTGACGCCATGGATCAACCCGATTGCTGCGTCTTGACGATCCAGAATCGTGCCAGTACGTCATTTTTGAGGTTCAACACCGCGAATCAACACAACTGTTGCGCCCGCACAATCCTGAATCTTTCCCAAACACCATTTCTGGTACGTTGATCATGGGAACCCGTGAAACTCTTGCAAATGTTTAAAACGAATGTGATCGGCGCTAAGGCGAGAGCCACATTTTGAAAACCACTTGCCCTCAATCCGTGAAGCTCTTGCGAAAGTTTAAAACGAATGTGCGCGGCGCTAAAGCGAGAGCCACATTTTAAGAACGATCGGCCCTCAATCCGTGAAACTCTTGCAAATGTTTAAAACGGATGTGCGCGGCGCTAAGACGAGAGCCACATGTTGAAAACGACCCGCCCTCCATCTGTGAAGCTGCTGTCACTTCTTAAGCTTCAGAGTCATACATGGTGAGGAAGGCTCAGGCGAAACGCCTGGCCCGCCCTAAAAACTGGCTTCGGGGTGCGACAGGGAGA